ACACACGCCACCATTTCTCCTGAGTATTTTTTTTCAAACATTTCACAAAGGCACAGTGAAGTTACCTAGTATAGAGTCATACAGCACGGAAATACCTGCCGATCAGGTATCCTGAATTAATCTAGTCCTATTTTCCAGCATTTGGCCCACATCCCTCTAAACCCTTCCTATCATATACCCATCCAGATGTCTTTTAAGTTTGCAATTGTACCAGCCTCCACCACTTCCTCTGGCAGCTCAATCCATACACGCATCATCCTCTGTGTGAAAAAAAATTGCCCCCGAGGTCCCTTTTAAATCTTTCCCCCTCTCACCTTGAACCTACGCCCTTTAGGTTTGGACTCCCCTACCCTGGGGAAAAGATCTTGTCTATTCATCCTATCCATGCCCCTCATGATTTTACAAACTTCTACAAGGTCATTCCTCGGCCTCCAATGCTCCAGAGAAAAAAACCCAGCCTATTCAGCCTAGAACATAGAACACAGAACAGTACAGGCCCTTCGGCCCACGATGTTGTGCCGAACTTTTACACTAATCCTAAGGTCTATCAGCTCCACCCCTACCTTATACTATCATCTCCCTATATCTCAAACTCTCGGGTCCCAGCAACATCCTTGTAAATCTCTACTGCACCCTCTCAAGTTTAACAACATCCTTCCGGTAAAATTGTAGGCAGTATTCTAAAAGTGGCCTCACCAATGTCCTGCTCAGCCTCAACAAGACTTCCCTCGCTCCTATACTCAATGTTCTGACCAATGAAGAGGGCAAGTTCAAAGAGGGAGGAAGCGATGGAGTCACTCGATCAGTAATCCTGAGACCCAAGCTAATGTGCCGGGTTCAAATCCCATACATTGAAATCTGAATTCAATAAAATTTGATATGAAATAAATGGTGACCATGTAAAAATTGCCATAAAACCCATCCCAATCACTGACGCTCTTTAGGGAATGAAATTCTACCATCCTGGTCTGGCCCACATTCGATTCCAGACCTACAGCAGTATGGCTCACAGTTAACCGCCCTCTGAAATGGCCCAGATAGCCAATCCGTTCAAAGGCAACTAGAAATTGGCAACAAACGCCAGATTGCTAGTGTCGCTACATCTCAAAAGAACGAATTTTTTTAAAAAACTGTGGTTGAGGGACGTGGTATCAGTTCCACTCACAATAAGAGTGAATCCACAATTCCAACACTAACTGAAAGACAAAGGCGCACCTTGTTGCAGTCTGACATTCAGAACGAGCATGTCCCTTTCTGGTTCCCCGAGCCTCGCCAGTATTGAAGGTAGGAGCGCCCGGGCCGTGTGAGGTTCTGATCTCATGGCTAGGATGAGCAGCAATATCCTCTGCACGCTCTAAACACTGTCGCTAAGTCCTCCGCTGCTTCATTCGCACAAGCCACGCAATAGATGCAAACACTGGACAGTACCCGCTCGCGTGGAGACAGACTCACAAAACCTGCAGCTTCAAAGTTCAGGTTATTCTTAGAATTAATTGGAACTGCTTTTTCTTTTCAAACCTGCGGCGGTAGTTCTGGTCAGAGTCATTGCTGTGAAGCTCACATGGTTACAGTTTTGCACTATGGTTTCCCACCCACTCACATTTGGACTGAGTCACTGACATGCTGTTTCTTATGCCTTTTCCAGACTTCCTATACAACCGGCACCAAGTCTAACTACTCGCAGCCCTAACTTTTAATTTGAGATTTTGGCGTTTCGTTAATTGTCAGTAATCTAAAAGTTAAACTTTCTGCTGTTTTTTGGCGGAGTTCATTTCACACAAGGCAGTTTGTGGGGTTTTAACTACAAGATAGAGAGGGAGAGAACTGGTCATGTGAGTGAATGGACTCTGAGCCCACTCCTCCATCCACTGCTCAACTGACAACACAAGGCCTCCTAAAATCAATTATTCCTTCCCTCAGGACAAATTTAGTTGAGATCTCCAGTGAACAGAAATGTTGATAACACCATCACATTCAAATTGCTGTGCCTCCTTCCAAAATAAACCCTTACTTCCCCCATCCCCTCAAAGCCCATCACCACCGCATACAAGGCTCTTCCAGTCCCCTTAAACATCCTGCAAATAAAGTGACAAACTATAACCACACTAACCCAGTGTCATTAACAAGACAGAAGTTTCCAACAGTGACTGGCGATTGACCCTAGCTCTCAGACAAGTCACATGGTTATGGATGCGAAACCCACTGGAGGGCTTGTGCACACAAAGACTCGCGTTTCTCCCTGAGCTGGTCCCATCTCTGGTGTCAATTCACCTTAGAAACCCTCTTCACACACAAACCTCCCACCACATAGCCCATGGAGCCATGGCACTGGTGTTGAGAACATGACCTTGTAAACTCCAATCTCACTCTAGACTGGTGTTTGAGTCCAGTGTCCATGACCTGTTCTAACCATCCCATCCATGAAGGCATACTTTACATCTGTCTAATCGTATGACTCAGGAGTAGGGTTATTCCATTTGGCCATGAGAGCCTGCTCCACCATTCAATAGAATCATCTAATTGTGATCTCAACTCACTTCCCTGCTTAATGCCCCCACCTCCCACTTTGACTTCCTTATTAGAATCACAAAATCCCTTCAGTGTGGAAGTAGGCCATGCAGCCACCCTATAACCCTACATTTCCCACAGCTAATCCGCCTATCTTACGTATCCCTGGATACTATGGGCAATTTCCCATGGCCAATTCACCTAATCTGCACATCTTTGGACTGTCAGAGGAAACTGGAGCACCCGGAGGAGAATGTGTAAACTCCGCACTGAATCAAACCCAGTTCTGTGGCACTGTGAGGCAGCTATGCTAACAACTGAGCCACCATGTCACTCATTTTATTAATCAAGAATCTATCTATCTATAGCTGCCTTGAACTCAAAAACCCCTGCCTCCACCACTCTCTGGGGAAAGACAGCTCCACAGTCTCGCCTTAGAGAAAAGAACTTCTCATTTAGATCTTAAATGGGAAATTCCAAGTTTATCCTCTAATTCTAAGAGTGAGGTGGGAGTGGGGGGGGGAATATCATTTCAACATTCATCCTTTCACATCTCCTTACAATTTTATAAGCTTCAATATCACCTCTCACTTCTCTGATGTCCAATGGATACAGATCCAATTTTTCCCAGGAAGGAACCCCTTTCATGCCAGGAGTCAGTCCTTTGAACAGAAAGGGAGGAATAAAGTCCGCTTCATGATAGAGATCCCACAATACTGCAGGAGAAGAGAAAGCCTTGACACACACCCCATCCAAAACCAACTCTACAATAAATAGATGGTCTATCTCATTCCTATTTTCAACTTGCTGCATTGCCAATTAGGAACGATCGCTGAACTTTTTCAAACAAGCATGTTTTAATATAGCACATACCAGTGCAAGGCAATAACAAATGGAATCAGATTTAAGACAATTGGCATGTGAAAAACAAGGAGAATTATTTTTAATGTAGCAAATTAAGATGAATTGGAAACATTGCCTAGCTGGATGTTAGAAACAGAGTGTACAGTAACTTTCAAAAGGGAATTGCTTGTATACTTAGAAGTAATGAAGACAGTTCCAAACAACTCAGGAAGCTCAACACCATCCAGGACAAAATAGCCTGCTTTAATTAGCACCACATCAACATTCACTCCCTCCACTGCAAATGCATTGCCAATAGAATGTACCATCAAGATGCACTGCAGCAAGTCACCCAGGTCCTTTCAATAGCATCTTTCAAATCTGTAGCTACTCCACCACCTGGAAAGACAAGGGCAGCAGACATATTGGGTCACCACTACTTGTAAGTTCCATTTATGGTCTCACACCATCTTGGAACGAGAATCACTGTTCCTGGGCCAAACTCCTGGAACTCCCTTTGTGACAACAATGTGGGTTGCCCAAAAGAAACTAGTGCTTCCAGAAGGCAACTCACCACCATGGACTCGGGAACAGTTTGGGATGGACAATAAGTGCAGGCCAAGCCAGCAACACTCCCACGCTACGACTGAATAAAAAAAATGTTTTGGGGCTGCAGTAAAGAGCAGGAACGTGGGATTTTCTCAGATGTCTCTCCTCAGTGTGAGATACCTCAACCTGTGAAATCGATACATTGTCAAGATGTAAACACAGGCATCCTCCCTCACCGTTGGTGGTCTCCACTGCCTTCGCTGGGCACTGCACATAATTTCATTAATTGGAAACCCAGGTGATTTAGCAGTGGTGGATAATTGTCGAAAAGTAACACAAATGACAAAAACAAACATTGTGCTGGGTGTAAGAGCATTTTGGAATATTAAAAAACAAAGGCACGAGACAACAATTCATCTTGGGAGTCAGTGCAAAATAGGAGAGTTATTACATTAGACCTTTATATCCTTCCACCTCAGCCTCCCTTCCCCATTAATGAGACCAACAGAACTGGTAATTAGATGGATACATAAACAAATTGCTGGAAAAGCTCAGCAGGTCTGGCAGCATCTGTGGAGAGAAAATAGAGTTAATGTTTCAGGTCGAGCGACCCTTCCTCAGAACCGAGCCCCTGAAAATGTCAACTCTGACTTCTCCCCAGAGATACTGCCAGACTTGCCAAGCTTTTCGAACAATTTCCGTTTATTGTTCTGATTTGCAGCATCCACAGTTCTTTCAGTTTTTATTTAGTAATTAGCTGGAATGCCTAATGAACAACCTTACGTTATTCTACAGCGATCGAATAACCCAGTGCCTACAGCAAGAATGATGATCAGTCAAAGACCCAGGAACAAAGGAAAGCGGAGCATGATACAGAGAGATACAGTGAGGAAGACCCCTCCACACAACACTCCAGCCCTGCAGAACAGGGCCTGATCCAAGAAAAATACAAATAACCCCTAGGCCCTGGAAGAAACCAGATGCTCAGAATTGTAACTGAAAGCAAACTTTGTTATATGTTAAAATTATTTTGTAAACTTTTGATTACTGTTAAGTGTCAATTGCATCTTCTTATTAAATTTAGAAAGAACAATTTTTACCTGGAGGCTGTGTGTTAGTGAGTGAAAGTTGAGTTTTATAGAGTAGAGGCAGAGATTTCCAGAGTATCTATGAGCAACAATTCCTGTTCTGTTCTATTTACGTTCGTCCCAGAGTCACACAGAGTGGAGAGGCAGAGACACGACACTGAAGCATCAAAGTTCTCTGAACAGCAAAAGAGATGAAACACACCATGTAAACCAGCACCTTCAAGGGCAGAGGGGAGAAAACCTGAGAGGGAGAGAGCAGAGCAGAGCTATAATTTCTAAGGTTTCCCACATGAAAAACATCTGTGTTAAAAAAAAAGCATCTTGTCTTTTTGGATTGCTTGTACTTTCTTTAGCAACAACGGAAACGTGTGACAATATCGGGAATCCTTCTCAGCAGTTTTTTTTCCCCCTTTCAGCCAAATTAAACAGAATATAAACAGAGATTAAAGTTAACGTTCTTCGAAATATATTAGGAAAATAAAAAGCATTATACTCGCTTATAATGAACTGCAACTGATATTTAAATGTAGTTTGGTGAGGGTGGCTGGTATATTTTGTCTGGTTTCTTGTTGCATTCCAGCTGGTAGCTCGATGTATTTTGACTGCACTTTTACAAGTCGCTAGATTGTATTGCGGATATTTCCCGTTGATGCTATACAATGAGTGTTCTGGGTTTCTTAACAGAATGTGGCTTACTCCTGTAATTAACCCCCAAGGAGTTCCTTACAGATAATCTACATCATGAGCACGGTCAGGATATTTAGCTACTAAAATGGACCTGTATTTGATGTGGCCTGTCCCCTTTAAAACCAGACAGCTACTGCTTCCTGGGGAGAAATGGTTTGATTTTATTTTCTACTCAATCTGTTCAGATCTCAATCTTGAGGTAGCACGGTCAGTCAGTGGTTAACACTGCTGCCTAACAGTGCCAGGGTCCCAGGTTCAATTCCACTCTCTGGTGACTGTCTGCGTGGGTTTCCTCCCACAGTCCAAAGATGTGCAGGTTGGATGGATTGGCATGCTAAATTACTCAGTGTCTAGGGATGTGCAGGCTAGCCATGGTTACAGGGGTAGAGAGGTGTGGATTTGATGGGCCAATTGGCCTGTTTCCACACTCTAGGAATTCTGTGATCTATGATCCTATGAGCTGTTATTACGCAGCTCTGAAACAAGTAGGATGTGAACCTGGATCTTCTAGTTCAGAGGTAAGGACACTACCACTGTGCCACAACAGCCCCAAATAAATGGTTCAAATGGGAAACTCAGAACAGCAAGCTCATTGTAAGGTAACTACTTGTAAATTCAGTGAGGTCAGAATACCAAGAACAGAGAAGCAAGCAAGAAACGATGGATTTGCTTTCCCTTCTTTCAAAAAAAAACATTCTGCCTTGAAAATCTTATAAGTAATGGCAGACAAAACCACAGCACTTGTGGTGCTGCTGACGTTAGTCTGGATCCTGAGCGGTTTCTTTAAGGACATTGGTCAAATATGCAGATAGCATTTTAAATGGGATAATGCTTATAAACTGTGATTGCTAGCAGTCATACATGAGAATTGCTGGATTCATCACAAAGTATCGGTTTTATTTCCCATTCATTTGAAGCAAGAAGTTCATTCAACATCGATAACAATGTGTAGATGGACAGATGGAACATCTAATATATCAGTCCACCTTTCACACACAGTTGAACTGAATAAGAGGGGTCGGCATTTGACAGATGATCTGCATTGTAAAGTCCTGCCGACAACTTCATCTCTATTGCAATCTTTATGTACCCCTGTGTTTTTCCTGTGAGTATTTGTGTCCATACCCCTCCACTGTTCCCTCTCCTTCTGTCTTTGCAGATGCTGACTGAGATGGGATTCACAGCACTAGTGACCATTCGGCATTCTTCAGAACGGTATAACTTCATTATCACTAGGTTCATCACCTCTCTGCCTGAATTAACATTGCATTACAGTGGCACAAACTACAACCCATTGATTCAAGTGTACTACAGCCCTGAAACCTGAACATACAGAGTTAAAGGCAACTGCATGAAGGGAAACTCTCTGTAGTGATTGGAACCAGCTGGATCTTGTTGACTACGAAATCCTTGATTGGCCCAGGTTAACAACCCCAATCAGGAAACGCTGGCTGACCGATATAAACAGGGGATTTAGAATCTCCTCAGTTCAGGGGATTAACTCCGAGCTGGCTGGCGTCAGCCAGTGGACTGTGCGCAAGTAAATAAAGGGTGTCTTGGTGATGGGATACCGGCTTACGTGCAGTTATTTCACTCTCCTTCCCGTTTCAGTCTATACAAGTGACAGGCACCACATTGTGCAGAATTAATAAAATTCACAGTGCAGGACAAAGCAACCGGTCTATGCCCTGTGCCTCACTTTATCTCACCCTACACATCTCTTAAATCCTAGTTTAACTATTTTGCCACAAACATTTTTGCTTCTTTTTATTCTTTCATGGGCATCATCAATAAGGCCAGCATTTTTTGCCCATCTTTAATCCCTTGAACTGACTGGTCTGTTAACTGCCAACCACATCACTGCATTAAGTGATGATGGTAAATTTCCCCGAATGTACATTAGTGAAGCAGATAGGATCTTACAACAACCAATGACAGTTTCATTGTCACCACTGCAGCAACAGGCTTTTAACTGCAGATTTTTAATTGATGTGGGATTTAAATCCGACCAGCTGCTAACTGTAGTTAACTCAACGATAGTACTGGTGTCCAGTTTGACGTTTACACTACCTGGTGCATCCACCCGTGGAATTTTTGGAATTTGAATTCAGTTTAAAAAGCAAATTTAGGAATAAAGAATTGGCAGCTGCACAATTTGACCACGAAGCTGTCAGGTAGCCACTGGACAAGTAATCCAGAAGCAAATAAAAACAGAAATTGATCTTCTTCAGGACAGGAGAGTCACTGGACTCAAACTGTTAATTCTGTTTCTCTCTCCACAGATGCTGCCAGATCTGCTGAATTTCTCCAGCACTTTCTGTTTCAGATTCCCAGCATCCACAGCTTCTTTGTTTTAGTTTAGTAATCCAGAGAGCCAGGCTAGTAATCCTGAGGCCAGGGTTCAAATCCTGTCACAGTAGCCGACAGAATTTTGAATTCAATTTATAAATATAGATTGTCAACAATGGTGACCACGAAGACTATCATTAATTATTGTAAAAACCCATCTGGTTCACTGATGTCTTTTAAATGGATCACATGTGACTCCAGACCCACAGCATTGTGATTTACTCCTCACTGCCCTCTGAAATAGACTGGCATTCAGTTCAAAAACCCCAGGAAATAGCAGCCCCTTGCAATTTCAATAGCATTAATTCCAGTGGACCACATCAGTAGCTTCAATTCACCCACAGACCCAATTCTCTAAGCTGAAGTTGAATGTACATGCCTGTTACCAAATATGATTCAAGTCCAAGTTCCTAACTCACTAAAAGAAATTCTTTAGTTATTAACGTCAAGAGGAATAGCATTCTAGAAATACTTAAATTATGTTCATTTACCTCAGATAGAAATTTGGGGTGAGAGTTGGAAACAGCAAACATTCCGTCCTTGTTCTGTTTGCTTGGATTATTTATATACTGGAACAAATTGTTCCGTCTTAAAATGTTTCTCAAAGAACATGATAATTTGTCTTGCATGTCTGCCTAACACAATATGATCAAAACTCAGAAACACAGATTATTTGCTGGTCTCATGTCAATTCATTCGGATTTCTCAAACCACGTTCCCACTGGTGCCATTGAGATTAGACTAGTTATTGGCCCAGCTTTTAGGAAGAAAGAACAGTTGCATCTCTCTCTGACCAGCATTGTTCCTTTAGCCAAGTCTCAGAAAGTGAATACGAAATATATTGCTTGTTACAATAATGGATTTTTCTTGAAGGGAGGAATGGCGGTACTGGAAAGTGGAATCATTTTCCTGTTTTTTTTGTCAAAGTTCCAGCACTCCTATGTCAAACCTACCAACTTGCATTATGGTATATAATCCACCAGCTGTCCTCACATGTTTAGTTAGTGAGGATTAACCTTGGGGATATCATAATAGGGCCCACTTCTCACAATTGGCACCCAAGTGTTTCCCAGTTGGGATCACTGAATAACGTTCAGGAATATCAGTTCTGCCCAGTTCCAATTTGCCATAACTCCCATAACCCAGAACATTTTCAGAGTGCTGTAGCAAGAGAGGTCAATAGATTCCTAGTCACTAATGCATCAGGGGATATGGGCATACCACAGGAATGTGGCGTAGAGGTTGATAATCAGCCATGATCTAGTGTGGCACAGAAACTGAATGGCCTACTCCTGCTCCTATGTTCCAATCAAACTTAACACCACCTTTACTGAAGGTGTTGGTGTAATGATAATGTCACTGGATTTTTAAATCTAGGGGCCCAGGTTAATCCTTTAGGTTAAACTCTCATCCTACCTTCTGCATATAAACCAACATTTTCCTAGCTACCATCAGTTCTGAGGAAGGGTCGCTGGACCTGAAATGTTAATTCTGATTTCTCTCCACAGATGCAGCCAGACCTGCTGAGCTTTTCCAGCAATTTCTGTCTGTAATCCTTTCGAGGCACAAGTTCAAATCCCACCACAGCAGTTGATGGAATTTAAATTCAATTGATGAAATCTGTTTGTTTTAAAAACAGAAAGAATCTCAGTAGCAGTGACCACAAAACTATCAATTGTCTTAAAAACGCACCTTGTTCGTTAATGTCCTTGAAAGGAAGGAAATCTGCCACCCTTACCCAAACTGCCCAACATGGGACTCCACAGCAATGTAATTAATTGGCAACTTCCCTCTGAAATGGCCTAGCGAGCCATTAAATTCAAAGGTAATTAGGGAAGAACAACAAATGCTGGAGTAATCAATGCAGCCCATATCCCTTAAAAGGTTAAAAATAACTTCAGGAATTATGGCACAGCATGAAACACTCTTGGGTCAGACGAAGGATGAGAAACTCTTTCAGTTGCCTTCCTCTAAATGGATACCTTTAAAATTCAAAATTAATAAAGTGAATATCTTTGCTGTGTTCTTACTTCTGTTAAACTGTGCAATCTTAGTACTGTGGGCTGACAACCAGGGTGGACTAAATGCAAAGGAGCTTCGGAGAACGTGAATGCTACAGAGAAACACAAAGTGGACTGGCATGTGTGTAAGATAGAGCTGGAGAATGAGGAAAATGGAAGACAAGGAGGAGGTCAGGAGGGAAAGGTTGAATCTGTTCAGCATCTTTAAGATTGCAGTTGCTTGCATGGATCAGGACATGTCTGTGCGTCATCAAGCCTGCCAAAAAAACAAAGCAGAAGCCTCTTGAGATTTGACACTCATGGGTTAACTTGACATTCTAGTGTTGGGTAATTGAGACAATAGGATTTCTTTAAAATGTTGCAAAAAATGAATCTGTTTCTTTGTCTTGTGGTCAGGCCAGGTTAAAATGCAACAGGGTCAGTGTGGACTTGTTGGGCCAAAGGGCCTGTTTCCACACTGTAGGGATTCTACGGTAAATAATCAGGGAAATGCAGGAAAACAAACTTGTGGCTTACTGTAAGTTTGGACTGGTGTGATTTGACAGCAGGTCCTGACATTGAGTTGATTGCACCAACAGTTACGGTTCTAAAATGCATTTCAGGTCAAACTACAAAAGGTAAATCACCTCTCTCCCAGCAGGACTGCATGCCTGCAACCTTGCAGTACAACCAACTGCTCTCAAGTGAATTCACATTGATTTTCACAATTAGAATGCTAGGAGTTCCAAGAATTTAGACTTGTTTACACTATGAGTGCAGTTATGGAATGAGACACCCGTGTTTGAACTTGGCCACGCTGTGACACAAAAACATCTGTTGGGTCCGAGGATCCTTGACCTCTTCCGAACAGGCTCAGCTTAGTGAATCATAGTGATCATTCCCCTTAGTTTTAGCTCCCTGGAGCGGAGAGGAATCAGCAAGGGTTCCCAGTGCTTGTTGCAATCTAGTGAAATTTACTGGACATTTCTTACATGTGTCAAATAGCCCAAGTCCATCTGCCTTGCACATTCTCACACAATCATCGTTCGGACAGCACTCGAGGGCAGCCTGGAGGCGAGTTCACAACAGTGCCTCCAGAGGGAAGAATTTAGAAGAATGAAGGGTGAGCTCATTGAAACTTGCAATATTCTTAAAGGAGGCTGAACAGGATGGACGCTCCCCAGGCTGAAAGGTGCTTTACTGTGGGGGCAGACTAGAGTTAGTATCGAGTCTCAGAATAGGGGACAAGCCATTTAGAACTGTAGGTAGGAAAAATTTCTTTACTCAGAAGGTAGCAAATTCTCTACCCTAAAATTGAGTTGCGCTTGAGACAGAGCTTGCTCAATAACAAAATTTATCAGGGGACATGGGGATCATGTGAGAAATTAGCCCTGATGTCGTAGATTCAGAATAGCAGAGCGACGTCAAGAGGCTAAATGGCTTCCTCTTGCTCTTATGTTCCTCCATGAATAGAGGAACCACATGGTTCACCTACCTGATCAGATAGACTTGCAAACGGACAGTTCGAGGCCACAATTCATAACAAATAATTTGGGGCTCTTTTTGACTTTGGGCAACAGTGTAGACTGGGTGCTATCAGAGAAGATAAGTGTTTAAACACTTGCCCTAATTCTTACTTACACTGATAGATAACCTATTAACCAATATAACTGTGACTGAATTCCTTTAAGACATTCTTAACAAAAAGATCCTGCTTTAGGCATCGAAAGAGTTAGTGGTTTTGCACAAAATATATATTAGTGACATTTTAACCCCTTGATATCTGAACAAAACTCTGACGTTATTGCTTCAGGCCAGCACATAGGACCCACATAGTAAGAAAGCCCATAATTTCAAACAGAGGCAGAATTACAGTAACTGGAGCTCACTGAAGCTCATCTCAACTTTCAGAATGACTGTTCCCCGGTGCCGTTTTAAATCTATGGGCAGCTGTTGGTGGAATCCCATTTCAGAGGTTGCTTTCAAAGCACTTGTCCAAAGGGTTTAGAATGCAGACATCCACTAAGTTACCCACACTATAGCAGTCAATGAGGGCATCAGTTATCTGTTTATCACCAGGAGTCCCGACTTATTTCTGCATCACCTTAGTTAATACCTGCTGCTCCCCATTGTTATTTTGTAATAAAAATCCATTTTCTGTGGCACTATTTTCCTTTGGTCTTCAATTACTAAAGGCAAAGGATGGGGATGTGGGGAAGTCTGGAACCAAGTCAGTTTTTGCATGTGTCCCCCAGAGACAGTCAATATTTGCAGGGGATGCTGAGGCAATGTTGGCACAGAGTTCTGCAGAATGTGTTAATGTTTACAGAGCATGAGGGCCCCGCTGGTTTGCCAGTAATTACAGAGTGCCCCAGGGGCTTTTCAGTATTTACAGGGGGAGGAATAGGGGCATGTCAGCATTCACTAGGTGGTGCGGGGTGGTATCCCAGAGGCAGTCAAAATTTTCAGGGGGTCCTGGAGTTGTTTGCGAGTAGTTTCCGAGCACAAGAACCAAAAGGGCCTCTGCTTTAGATGAATAGTTTGTGTTCACACATAAAACAGCCCTGGAAAATCAGTGTGTGACCACAGTCTTACCAGACTGAGGCTGCTCTCTCATTAGAAAAAGAGACAACTGGTGGTAATTTAATCTGAGGGGAGAGATTGAGAAGGTGACTGCTTCATGGTAATCTCAGCTAGTATCCATAGAATATATCCATAGAATCACTACAGTGTGAAAACAGGCCCTTCGGCCCAACAAGTCCACACCGACCCTCGGAGAATCCCACCCAGACCCATCCCCCTATAACCCACCTAACCTACACATCCCTGAAAACCATGGGCAATTTAGCATGACCAATCTACCTAACCTGCACACCTTTGGACTGTGGGAGGAAACCAGAGCACCCGGAGGAAACCCGCACAGACACGGGGAGAATTTGCAAACTCCACACAGTCAGTTGCCCGAGGGTGGAATGGAACCCGGGTCCCTCGCGCTGTGAGGCAGCGGTGCTAACCACTGAGCAACCGTGTCGCCCTAGTGCGCGGATTGAACCAACACTGTTGGTATCTCACCACTTTGCAAATCAACCATTCAGCCAATAGAGTTAAATGAAAGTTTACAAATAGGGGCACCCAGTACAAAAAGTTTCTCCAGCAATTTCTGGGTTTTGTTTCTGATTTCCAGCATCTGCAGTTCTATTGTTTTAATATAAAAGCGACCAAATTTTGGTGAATTCAACTGGAGCAGTGTGTCAAATTCTGAGCACCACACTTCAGGAAAGTTTTGATGGCTTTGAAAAGGTTCAGCACAGAAGATTCTGGGGATGAGACAGGATTGGATAAGGGAGCAATGTTCTCCATCAGTAATAGAAGATTTGGCAAAGGTTTTCCAGATCACAAGACATCCAGGCAGAGTAGTTTGTTCCATTGGTGGAAGGGCTAAGAACTGAAGGACAGATTCAAGGTAGTTGAGAGAAGAAACAAAGGCAGACAAGAAGTGGGAATAAAGTATTTCTGCAGTGAGTGGCTAGGTTTTGGAAGGCACAGCTCCAGAGCGTAACGACCAGATTCCATCATCACTTCTGAAAGGGAATTGGAAAGACAACACAAGAGGAACAAAATTGAATGGCTATGGGGGAAGGCAACAGGAGGGAGCCTAACTCTCTTGGTTTTGTGACGAGCTGGCACAAGCATGATGGGCCGAATGGCCTCCTTCTGTGCTGCAAATGTGTGGAATACCAGTCAGGACCTGAAAACAGGAAACAGGGCTCAACATTTAGTTGGAGGCCCTTTGTTAGACAGGAAGAACCCCACTTTTGTCCAGATCCATTCCATTGAGAGAATGTTCCGCCAATCCAGAGATACAAAGATGCTACTTTGCCCCTCTCTATCTGCAAGTGCCATGTAGTCCTCAATGCCTGCATTGGAATCTTAATCTGCTCTACTGCACTAGCAAAATCGTGTCTTTTTCTGTTCCAAGTCTTATCAAAATGAAAATAATTAAAAAGGTCATTTCATTCTGTTTGCTAAATGATAAACAGTGAAGTGTGTCAGTTAACAGCAGGAGCCTGATTATGAAACACTGAACACTGAACATGAAACATCAACGCTTTGAGGTAATGGGGCTTTGTTTGGTCTCCCTTCCCAGCCTTGGGCAAAAAGTGCACCTTAAACAAAGTTGTAAAATTGCAAAAAAAAAACTGTTCTGAGGAAGGGTCACTGGACCCTAAACCTTAACTCTGTTTCTCTCTCCGCACATGCAGCCGGACCTGCGGAACTTTTCCAACAATTGGTCTTTTTTGTTTGTAAAATTGCTTTGGTCCGCCAGCGATATTGATAATTTGCAAAATGCACACCAATCAGCTGTACAAGAGGGAGACTTATTTTGGAAAATTCTTCTCTCTTTGCCCCAAACCAAAACATAAGGTTTACTCACCCCCAGCTCATGAACTCATGTTGTTCCCTGCCTGGAGTTTCAGGGTCCCGCAAGAGGCACACCAGCGGCCAAGTGAGCCCCGCAGATAGGGAGGGTCATTCGAGTGTTGAAACACTTGCAAAGTCTGGCACCGCGGCGGACAATGGGGCGCTGCGTTCTCCGACGGTGTGGGCGCCGCGCTGGTTTGGCGGAGCATCGCCGCTTGTGTGCGCCCGGCTTCGGCAACGCTGGAGTTCCCCCTCCCCCCCCACCACCACAACCCGTCCCCGGCGGCTAAGCCTAGCACAGCACCCGGGCTCTCTCTCTCTCTGCTGTTGTCCCTAAGTTTTCTGTAGCTCTTCCCCACCCCCTCTCCCCGAATCGTCAGTTTCACAAGCGCTTCTAGTTTTTTTTAACAAACAAAACTCCGCCTCTTTGCCCTCATTTCACAGAAACCGCGCCGTTACTTTCCAAGAAATTTGCAACCTGGTTTCGCTTTCGAACGCGTCACTCCCTGCCCTCTATGTGTGTCTCTTAAGAATTAACCCTCAAATCCACAGAGTTTGCCCATATCAGCTTTACACAGAACTGATAGCGTGGAAGTAGCTCGTTCGGCCCATCGGGTCCGCACTAACCCTTCGAAGAGCATCCTACCCTTACCTGCGACTCTGCCCTGTCCCTGTAAACCCTGCATTTTTCCCATGGCTAATCCACCCAGCCAGCACATCTCTGGACACTATGGGCAATTTAGCATGGCCCATCCATAGAGTCATAGTCATAGAGATGTACAGCCCAAAAAGAGACCCTTTGGTTAAATCGTCTATTCCAACCAGATAAATCTAGGCCCATTTGCCAGCATTTAGCCCATATTCCTCTAAACCCTTCCTATTCATATACCCAGCCTTTTAAATGCTGTAATTGGCAGCTCATTCCATACACGGACCACCCTCTGCATGAAAACATTGCTCCTTAGGTCCCTTTTAAATCTTTCCCCTCTCACCTTAAACCTATGCCCTCTAGTTTTGGACTCCCCCACCCCAAAAGTTCTGAGGAAGGGTCACCGGACCCGAAACGTTAACTCTGATTTCTCTCCACAGATGCTGCCAGACCTGTTGAGCTTTTCCAGCAGTTTCTGTTTTCTTTCCACCTACCCACACCTCTTTGGACTGTGGGAGGAAACTGGAGCACCCGGAGGAAACCCATGCAGACACGGGGAGAATATGCAAACTCCACACAGTGAGTCCTCTGAGGCTGGAATCAACCCTGTGTTTCTGGTGCTGTGAAGCAGTAGTACAGCCACAGTGTCAGTCTAGTTGTCAGTCCCTTAAACAGTATGCAAAATTCAAACATAATAGGAAAATGCTAGCCAGGGGCACTTTCACTAAAAAAACAGTGATTAACTTTATTGCATTGAACACAGACCCAGAGCAAATGTGCAGATTCCACACTGACAGTCACCCAAAGCTTGGATTGAACCTGGGTCACTGATGCCATAAATGGTGTCACATGTAGGCCAAACCTGGTAAGGATGACACACTTCCTTCTTGCAAGGGCCATACAGACTTTTACAGCAAACAGTGGCTTCTCACAATTAGTGAGACTTGTTTTCAAATACCAGATTAACTGGTTCAATGTTAAATTCGACTAGCTGCTGTGGTGGAATTTGAACTATGTCCCCAGAGCATTCATCTGGCCCTTAGCTGGATTACTAGTCTAGTGGCATTATCACTGGTTATTTGGCCCAGGCTGGTTATTTGGTCCAGTGTCCAATATCAAATTCCCTTCCTTCTCTGCTTAGTTGCATGGTGTCAGTACTAGGAACCTGCGTTCAATTCACACCCTTGGGTAACTTTATGTAGAGCTTGCATGTTCTCCCTGTCCCTGTGTGGGTTTCCTTTGGGTGCTCCAATTTCCTCCCATAGTCCAAAGATGTACAGGTTAAGTGGGTTAATAATGGTTATGGGGATTGGGTGGGATTATTTTTGGAGGGTTGGTACATACTTGATGGGCAAAATGTCCTCTAGCTGCACTGTAGGGATTCCATCCCTGTAAGCAAATTTAAGTCTCAATGGCAGTTTATCACAATGACAGTACTTCATTAGAAGTCTTTAAATTCCCCCTACAGGCAAATAACTTTTTAAAAAAAAAAATTGGAACTGCATTGAAAGAATGAAAGTTGAAACACATTTCAAAACTTTTGATGTTACAAATGACTAAGAGTACTGTTAACTAAATTCTATTTTCTTTGCATAGGCAACTTCGACTTTAAATTCAAGACAGTAAAAGTCTCCTTTTATAACTATCAAATATCATACTCTTCATGGAATTACGTCTGTGTAACAAATAGTCCACAAATGTTCCTAACTTCTGATACGTTTCTGTATCCCACTACACAATGTAGTAACTGTAAGTGACCATCAACAGGCACTTTACTCAATTCTTTGCCTCCCTCTGCCCTCCACATACATACCAGAAGAAATCTCCTGAAACTCTTAGGTGGGTGCAGCAGGCATCTCTTTGACTCTAGACCTTTTCCCTCCCACATCCGGCTGTGGTAGTTTGCAAAGCCAAGATCATTTTCTCTGCTGACTACACAAAACTGCTGTCAGACTGAGAAATTCAGTCATTTGTGGGGAAACCCGCAACAACATCATTTTGAAAAATGGCTTCCTCTGCCTCCACATGGCAACATGAAATGCGCTAAATTTGCATCCAGGTAAAAACACTAATATAACTACACTTGATCCCAACTTTCTTTCATCCTAGAAGTAAATGGAGTGTTCACAAAACAACTATTTCCCACCTCATATCTAGGACTTTGGGAGATGCATAGATTTGGTAAATTCAGTGACTGCTGCCATTGTCTCCAAGAATAAATACCTTCCCAGAGGGAAGATGGTATGAAACCAGAGCCAGATCTACTGGTGTATACTGGTTTTGAGCTAGTTGGATCTGGATTTGTACTGGAAGTGATCACAATACTGGTCATCCTGTAGCTCTGAAATCTGGAACCATTAATTATAGAGTCATAGAGATGTACAGCACGGAAACAGACCCTTTGATCCAAGTTGTCCATGCTGTCCAGATATCCTAAATGAATCTAGTCCCATTTGCCAGCATTTGGCCTATATCCTTCTAAACCCTTCCTATTCATATACCTATTCAGATACCTTTTAAATATTATAATTGCACCAACCTCCACCACTTCCTCATAGCAGCTCTTTCCATACATGCTCATCCCTCTGCATGAAAAGATGCCCCTTAGGTCCATTTTAAATCTTTCTCCTCTCACATTAAACCTATGCCCTCTAGTTTTGGACTCCCCCACCCAGGGAAAAGACCTTGGCTATTCACCGTATCCATGGCCTTCATGATTTTATAAGCCTCTTAAGGTCATCGCCCGGCCTCCACAACATCCTCATAAATCTTTTCTGAACCCTTTCAAGTTTCACAACATCTTCCAGTAGCAGGGAGACCAGAACTGAATGCAGTATTCCAAAAGTGGCCTAACCAATCATCTGTACAGCTGCAACATGACCTCCCAACTTCAATACTCAATGCACTGACCAATAAAGGCAAGCATACCAAACACCTTTTTCACTATCCTATCTACCTGCGACTCCACTTTCAAGGAACTTTGAACCTGCACACTGAGGTCTCTTTGTTCAGCAACACTCCCCACGACCTTAGTTTGAAGCGTATAAGTCCTGCCCTGATTTGCATTTCTAAAATGCAGCACCTCACATTTATCTAAATTGAACTCCATCTGCCACTCCTCAGCCCATTAGCCCATCTGATCAAGATCCCGTTGCACTCTGAGGTAGCCTTCTTCACTGTCCACTACACCTTCAATTTTGTGTCATCTGCAAACTTACTAACCATACGTCCTATGTTCACATCCAAATCATTTATACAAATGATGAAGAACAGTGGACCCAGCACCAATCCTTGTGGCACACTGGTCACAGGCCTCCAGTCTGAAAGGCAATCCTCCACCACCACTCTCTGTTTTCTACCTTTCTCGTGACCATTTGGTGCAGGTATAGACTGTGTGCAACTAAACCCCACACTGCCTCTCTGCATCATTCATTTGACAGATTGCATGTTCTCACTCAAACAATTTAAGCTTTCGTTCGATCTCTAATAATCAAACCATTCAGGCCTACTGTCAGGCAGACTGCAGAACAGTCCTTATTTAATTTACCCTAAATTTAAAGATACAATCTCAAAACATTATAAACTTATAAACCCCACGCTTGTAACACCTCACTCTAAAAGAATAAAATGGCATCCACTATTAGTGATGAGTTTTCAAAAACATTAACCAAAAATGCAACAGCTTATGATATTCTGTTCGCTTAACAAATAAGTCCATTAAGTTAAAATTGAATTACCATTTACAGTACAAATAACGCTTTGCAACCGTATCGCTCCACCCCTACCCATGCTCCGTAACCCAATCCATTGTGGCAGCATCATGATGTTTAACCTGAGTCAATCAAATATATGTAACAGTTAAGATATGAAGTCTCATTCATGCCAGCTCTTAAAGTCCATCCTCTCAAATGACAAAGACATGGTTTTCTTTCGAGTATCGCCTTTCTCATTGTGATTAAAGTTCACATGGTTCCCATGTCTTTGTTTAGAAGGTAGAATGATAGATTTAGCTAGGAAACCTTATCATAGATTCACAGCACAGAAACAGACCCTTTAGTCCAACTTGTCCATGCTGAACCGATATCCTAAATTAATCTAGTCCCATTTGCTGGCATTTGCCCCATATCCCTCTAAATCCTTCCTGATCTTGCTAATGTTGATCTCACCTAATGCATGCCCTGTGCAATGTAACCTGTATGCCTCTGTCTAAGTTTTTTACAACCTTTGATCTGTACATCCTTGCTTACTATGATCTGCCTGTACTGCCCGTAAGCAAAATTTTCACTGCACTCCAGTACACATGACAATAAATAAATCAATCAATCAATCAATCATCCAGATGCCTTTTAAATGTTGTAGTTGTACCAGCCTCCACCACTTCCTCTGGCAACTCATTCCAGACTCGCACCACCCTCTGCGTGAAAAAGTTGCCCCTTAGGTCCCTTTTAAATCTTTCCTGTCTCAACTTAAATCTATGCCCTCTAGTTTTGGACTCCCCTCCCCTGGGGAAAATATCTTGACTATTCACTCTATCAGAACAACAGTGCTGACTTCTGATAGTCTCTCTGGTTTTTGAACACCAGCAGGAGTGAATTGTAAATTCAGAAGAAATTCTCTGTCGGAATGCTTTTTACTCTCTGAATTCAATAAATCCTTTCATTTTACTTTTGGATCAATCTTCAAACTACTTGTCAGAAGTTTTACTCTTATTTCTCCTTTTTCTTTCATGGTTTTTATGTCTAAATC